ACCCTCCCCCCCGATCATGGAGGCCATCAGCTGAAGTGATCTTCCCCCCATGCCGCAGAGGCCTTCAGCCGAAACGGCCCCTCCCTCTCTGGGTTCAAACCCCAGAGATCCAACCAACCAAATTCTTTTGGACAACTTGCCTGACGGGATAACCTCCCATCAGCAGCAAAAGATCCCAGTTTGAATGATTGAGGCTCCCGCCACGACGAAACCCCGTTAGCTTTAGCAAAATTTCCGTTTTTCATATTAAGACCGTTTACCATTTCCAGCAATGCGTCTTGTGCACAGGAATGGTTTCACCTTGCGCAGGACTCCGCCCTCAGTTAGCTTTTTGGTTGGTGGTTGGTTGGTTTTGGCTTTTTGGAGTGGTTGGAAAGGGAGAGTGTTGTAGAGTGGTTGGAAAGGGAGAGTGTTGAAGAGTGGTTGGAAAGGGAGAGTGTTGAAGAGTTGTTGGAAAGGGAGTGTGGAAAGAACAGAATTGTGAATCGGGCGTGAGAGAACACTAAGAGAAATGTGAGGAGTCGAGTGAGTGGAGCCAACGAGAGGTCTGGCGTGGCACTGAGAAAGGACGGGTCGGCTACGTGTGAGGCACCGGGTACGTGGACCGTGGGGTGTGTGTGTGTGTGTGTGTGTGTGTGTGTGTGTGTGTGTGTGTGTGTGTGTGTGTGTGTGTGTGTGTGTGTGTGTGTGTGTGTGTGTGTGTGTGTGTGTGTGTGCAGAGAACAGAGACACGAAGTATGTTGTTGTTGTTGTAGAGAGTTGACTGTATGTGCAGACCACTGTAACTGATTTAATTTGACGTGAATAAATCAGGGTTGACAATCCAGGTCGCAATACCAACCCACGTTACAATACCTTTCCCCCCTCATTTAAAAGAAAGAACATCACATGATTATCCTTTCAGCGTGTTTCAAGGCATAACTTTATACCAACAATTCTGTCAAATAATATGATCTACGTGCAGTATGTTTTTCTCATTAATTCACTGACAATTATGAATTCACATTATGGGACGAAGTTTGAATAAAGTTTAAATCCCCGCAACATCAAAGAATGTTAGAGTCTGAAAGAGTGCTGACCTGCCATGTTAATTTCTGTATGGGTGAGTTTACATATTAGTGGTACACACATCAAATCTTTGACAATTATAAATACTTACAGAGCTTTAACCATTCCATTCCTGAGTTAAATTTAACAAATTCCTTCTTTTGTTCTTACATGATAACCATGGTAACTTGACTATGACTTCTTACAAAAAAACAACAAATAATATCCAATAACAAAGAAAAGGCAGGAAAAGTATTTCTTTCACTAACAATGTTAAACACCAGAGTTACTCTGAAAAAAAATTGCTACGATCCCTGAGAAATCTTGTTTGTTGCATGGATAGAGTCAGGTACAGACACTCCTCCAAAATCCAACCCTTTGCTGTGGAGGCGGCTAATGTCTTTTGACAGTGAAAACAGGCTCTGATCCACTGAAGCCAAGATGCCAGATATCCTGCAAAGGGCTGCATGACACTGGAGTGGATATGGTAGTGTCCTAACAATTCCTTCGCATTAATGTTTTCTGCCCATATGGGGGGCTCTGTGGGTGGGGTGGTGACACTTGTTCTCTACTTGTCACAGAAAATAAATGGAATATGAAAAATAAGAGAAATGACAAAACCATATAAGGGCACAGAGTTTATAACTGAAAGTTGACTTTTCTCAGCAGAATGCCAACAGTTCTGGCGGAAATGACATCAGTGAATCCAGGGAAGCTGAGAAGACAACTATTCCTCAATTCCCAGGGAGCAAAACTGAAACAAGGAAAATAAAAGAGAAAGTGGCAAAGCCACACAAAGGAACCCTCCATCTGCAAGTTAATTTTTCTCAGCAGAGAGCCAACGATTCTGGTATACCACCTCAGAAAGCAAACAGTACCAGCTAACCTAGGGAAGCTGAGAAGACAATGACAAGATCCTGCTATGTAGGAGGTGCGGAACTGTTAGCAGATGATTGAAGAGAATGGAGATGCAGAAAAGATCAAGAAACGGTCTTGTTGCAAGAGTCAGTTAGGAACCCAGCCCATTCATATTCATTGCCACAGGTACAGATAACTGTTAAGAATAAGATGGCTGTCTTTTGGGTTGGAGGCAGAATTTACTTCTGAAACATCAATCAATTTATACCAGACTACATGACTCAACATCCCAGAAGAGAGCCATTTTCATACTTGTCATCATGAGAACCTGAAATCTTAACTGTTCCTATGCAAGTACATCAGATTAATAAAAGGATGCATACAATTAAAATTCTTGGCTAATATAAAAATACTATGCATTACTCAGGCATGAAGTTTGGGTCCAGATAGTTGTAACTGTTTGGCTTTCCAGTCAAAGAGAAACTGTGGGGCATGTAATCCTGATCCCACAAGCCTCTTCTCTGCTCCTCATTTTTCCTTAAATCCACGAAGTGGTGCATTACAGGGTGAGGACTGCTGGATTCTATTTGTGTCACAACACAATCCGTGCAGAAGTCGACAGACATGTTGGGTGGGCAGTCAACACAATGCCATCTGGTCCCAAGCAGAGGCTCCTGTTTGCACAGGTCACACTGCAAAACACAGACAATGAAAAATATAAATAGCCATCCACCAGAAATAGTACATATGGTGTGTTTTTTCATCTGGGTTGTGATGCCACATGGACTCAGAGGTTGATACCAACGTTTCAGAGAAGCGCGCAGTCTCCATCTTCAGAGATGAAGTTCTTCCACTTTAGCCCTGAAGCTGGAGATTATATGTTTCTATCTATGAATCCACAAGGTGTCAGAGACCAGAAGAATATCATCAACATCTTCATCACAATGAGAAACTCGAATCTCACTGTTTATATAACTGGCACTTAACATGTAGGAAATTCCAACCTAGAGGGGAGTATGATTATGTAGGAAGAAGGACTTGAAGTATTTTGGTCCAAAATCAGCATTGATTCCATTACTACATGCATATACAAGTTGTACAAATGAAAGGTATCCAAAATAAAATAATTATATCTCAGAAAGCATTTATTATACACATTTATGGGTTACACCATTACAAAGGAAAACTATAAAAAATAAATTCTGAGTATATAACTTTCTCAGTAAATTTCAATGTGGGCTCCCCTGGTGGCACGACAAATATCCAGACAATAGTCAACCTCGTTCCACGTTGCTTGAAGCATGTTTGGCGTTACCATAGCTACAGCGTCCCTTATGCGGGCTTTCAGGTGTTGAAGGTCGTTGATCTTAACCTGGTAGACAATGTTCTTCACATAACCCCACAAGAAAAAATCCAATGGGGTTAAATCTGGTGACCTAGGAGGCCAAGAGATTGGTCCACCTCTGCCGATCCATCTCCCAGCCATCTCTCTGTCCAGGTGAATCCTAACATGGTGGCAGAAATGTGGCGGCGCCCCATCTTGTTGGTGGATAGTTTGAGGTGGTAATTGGGGCAGCGCATACAGCTCCAGCATGTCCAAGTACGAACGTCTGGTCACAGTCTTTTCCGAAAAGAAAAACGGTCCAATTAACTTGTCGTGCGTTAAGCCAGCCCACACGTTCACTTTGGGGCTGCCTCTCTCCAACTCAAATGTGACTTGTGGATTCTGACTGCCCCAAATCCTGCAGTTGTACCTGTTTACAGCTCCATTGACATGGAACGTCGCCTCGTCCGAGAAGCACACTTGGCGGAGGAAATCAGGTGATGCGTCAATACTTTATAGCATGTCCACAGCGAAATTTGTGCATGCTACTAGGTCAGTCGGTTTAGTGCATGAATCATTTGAATCTTGTACGCTCTTAGGCGCAGCCTTTTGTGTAGCACATCGTGCACTGTTGAACGTGGAATTTGTAACTGCAAGCTAGCAGCACGAATTGATTTGGGCGGACTTTGCTGGAATGCCTCTCTAATGCGACTGACATTTTCTTCAGAGGTCCGTGTCTTTCCAGGAGATTTTACACGCAATAGACTACCTGTAGTCCTCAGTTTGTTGTCCCAGAACCGAATGCTTTTCCATGTAGGAGGTTGACGTCCATACTGCGTTCTAAAACGACGCTGGACAGCCGTACGAGATTGCAACTCTGCTAGCCACAACATGCATTGAACCTGTTCCTGTGGTGTCGACATCGTTACTGAGCTCGCTGAAGGTCACCAGCTGGCGCATGCGTGTAAGCCGGGCATGAAAAAAACTTTTAGAGTTTTCCTTTCCGATGACATAAACTGGATACATGTTTAACAATTAGTTTCCGAGATATAATTTTTTTATTTTTGATACCTTTCATCCAGACACTCTGTATTTATGCAACAAAAAATTATTTCCAGGTACCCACAAATAAACTTTATTTTTCCCACCATCATTATCATTATTCTCTTGTTTAAGTTTACTTTTCCTCTTATTTTCCTTAATATAAATCTTACATTATGATAAAGCTTGCCAAATCATTATCTTCTACTCCGAAAGGAGCGCTTTGCTCTAGTAATATAAAATAAGCAACAAATACTATTGTCTTTTTTATAGTTATAATTTTGTTAAGTTTGTTGTTAGATTTGGAACGTGGAACATTAGGAGTCTCTATAAGGCTGGGGCACTGAAATCAGTGAGTAGGGAATTAGAGAATTGTAAGTTAGATTTAGTGGCACTGCAGGAGGTGCGATGGGAGGGGGAAGGCGCGATCCCAGTGGACAATTTCACATTTTTCTATGGGGTGTTTGAGAATAGAGTGTTGAGGAGGATATTTGGGTCTAGGAGAGAAGATGATGGGGCATGGAGAAAACTGCATAATGATGAGCTTAAAAATCTGTACTCCTCCCCCAGTATTGTCAGGGTGATTAAGTCGAGAAGAATGAGATGGGCGGGGCATGTAGCACACATGGATGGGACAAGAAGTGTGCACCAAGTATTGGTTGGGAAGCCTGAGGGAAAGGGCTTTGGTTAATTCGGTGATGAACCTTTGGGTTCGGTAAGCCATCTAGTTAGTTAATAGTTTGTTTGTGGCACTAGTTGCAAAATTGTCAATAAAAAAGAGATATTACGTACTGTTTCTATTACCGGTATTTATTGTTCAAGTGACAAAGTTGATACAGTTTACCTAGTATAATACATTTTCGAAAATTCCAATGCACTTTGCAACTCGCGTGAGGACATGGCGTGTTGCTCATCTGAGTGCATCTTGATGTTCGTTTATGTGGGCAATAACATCCAATAGGGAACGACAATATTGGGTGCCAAATCCAAACTACTGTACAGTGAAATAGCTCTATCTCGGAAACCATTCCGAATAGGACACATGTACATATACACTTTTTTGCTTAGACTGACCGATACTATGACCTCCCAGAATATTAACCTTTCCTCATGGGACACCCTGTGTATCAGTATTATATTGAAATGAGTGATGCATAGAATTCCCAAGGCATTCTATCCTATTTAAAAGAGAAAAAGAATATTTTCTGTACTAAAATTGATGTTAAGGTACAGATAAAGGTAAAGTTTCCCTTATGACTAAGCCATGCTACAAATATATGTACATAGGAGACGTGTATTCTTAACCTAACCAATGTGTGATCAGTTTCAAGCTCCAGTCCCTTTAATGACAGAAAGCTGTATATAACCCACAGCCTGTCTCAATGTACTGATGAAGAAAAATATCCTGCCACTGCAGGGAATCAGACCACGGACATTCAGCTCGTAGCAGGCTTCTACAGCTCTTTATTCAAAGTTTAAAGTGAAATTACTCTTATAATAAAGTCTATAAAAAAAGTCTGTTTTCTTACCTTGTAGCCTAAATGTTCAACAGGAAACCTGCCCTTTTCCATCTCCTTGTCTCTCTTCACCCTCCGCAGAAGACAAAGCTGTTGGTACTCGGCTGAATTTTCATGCTTCTGTGCTGCATTTATATCATCATCCTGGCACAGATATTGAATCAATTAAATTATTTAACACACTGCATACCAGTTCCAATAAGTATCGTGATTCCAGCAGCATCCATCTTTGCCAATCAACAGAATACCAATGTTTCATGCAAAAGTTTTTTTCCTTCCCCCACTCCTCCTGTTGTATCAGTGCGCAACTGGACTTTCAAGGTTATCTGAATGTATGGTCTAAAAGCTAATAATTATTCCTGTTGAATTTTCTTATGTTGGAACTTCATTTAGTGCTTTCTTCTTGCTTACAAGTTTAAAAACCCCATCAGTTTCCATTATGATGGAAGATTTTTTTTTACTTTACCGGGTGATAAAAATATATTTTAGTAACAAACCATTAAAAAAATAAGAGTGTTTTATAACAAATGGACACAAACAAATGTTTAACATTTTTCCTTAGACTTTTACAATTTTATGCCGGCCAGAATATAGAAAATCATGCATAAAAATGGCTAAAATTCAAACAATACACAATGAACATGCATTTTACAGTAACTTATCTCGGTATATTATTTTCTGCTAGGAATACCAACCATCCTGTTTATCCAACAGTCTAACCCAAGAACATAACCCCATCTTGCAGACAAAGATTATTTATTTATATTATTTAGTGTTCTGTTTGACGACAGGTCCATATGAACAGGATCCTTCCATCCTTTTCTCGGACTGGGACCTGTTCATATACGTTCTTGGCAGATGATCCAGAAGTGGTTTGCCATTGCCTTCTTCTGTGTGTGAATGGAGTAATTGTTGGGATGCCACGGAGAAACCGGGGAAGCGGGGAAGCCCTCGGAAGAAAACTCCGTGTTGCCTAGACCACGGCCTTGCCCAACACAAGTTATAAATTCGGGCACTGCTGGGAATCGAACCCGGGACCCCAGGATTACAAGGCCAGCGTTCTAACCGCTAGACCACCGTGGCGGTAACAGAAACATTACCTCAACAAAACCTGTGTAGTAACAAGACCTAGGCTACACAAATTCTCGGGTCCTTAACAGTAGGGCAGTAGGCGATACTAGTGTCACTCCTGCTTGGCCATCATGTTTATATTATTAATGATATTAAATTATTAAGTACAGAGGTGGAGTGACATCTAGTGGCATGATGTTCATTTTAACTTTTGGCAATCCATCAACTGGCTCAGAACTTACAAAGGAGGAAAGAGACAAGTGTATGATGATACCATAAGCCTATCTTCGTAACAAAAATGGTAGTACATGAATTGGTCATACTTACCGATAATCTATCTTCCATTTTTGTGCCATATTCTCCTGTGGAAATATTGGTGCAGGATCCAACTGTTTCATCATCATAGTCAGACATGTACACTGGAACATCTTGAGATGGGAAAAATGTTGTTTGCTTCAACAAATAATGATTGTTCTTCTGATGCCGATGAGGATGGTATCCCTGTAATGAAAGAAGAATTAAAATGCTGCAGCATACATTGTGAATAGAATCTGACTGAGGGTTAAATCTCATACACAAATGAAGATCTATTTTATATATTTTTCATTAGAAATAAAACAAGTTTACGAAAGTAAATGTGTAAAAGACATGAAAATATTTTTTTGAATGAATTCATGAATATGAGAGAGACAATGAAATCACACAGAGTGTTGGTGGGGAAATGCCTGAGAAATAGGAGAATAACACATCACACAAATAAAACATACAGCATAATGTTTTCACCTTATCAGAGGCCAAATAAATAATTACTGTTTTCCAAAAGGTCTTTTCATCAAAATTCGAATGTTATAAAGTACTTCCCTCCTAAATGAACCATCACCATTTCTGTCAAATATGTAAATAGCTGATATACTGATCCATTCAATATATTTTCATTTCTTTCATTTGCTAAATTCCAAAGGTATGATAAATAACCAAACTCTAATGTAACATTAATTAATATTTCTAACAAAAATTCCATAAATTCTTCTTGGTCTATAAGCTGATCCACATTACCTGCAAAAATTGCTAGAGTTATTGAAGATTCATTAAAAATGTTTCATGCAAGAAAAGCATAAAATCTTCTTTAACATTCTAACTTTATAGCATACACATAGCCCTCAAAACACAACTGTGAACAAAACTCTTCAGGGGTCTGGGAATAAAGGCACACACAGATAATACAATGATATGTTACAAATGTCTCATAACATGTTTACAAGTGAATAAACTAAGCTTTACCTTTCGAAATATATCTAAAGACTGCAATTTTGGAGATCTTCCTGGGACAGGTAATCCTGCTTTATGAAGCTTGATAAAATATTTCTGCACTCGGCTGCAAACTTGCTTGGTCGTGCGATTCCCTGTATGAATTAAATGTTAATCTCAGGAGTTTATAAAGTGTAATCATTTTTTGAGATCTATGATTAAGTTGGCAATTCTAATGGCACAGTACAGACATGTGGTAGTCTAACATTGATAACTACAGAATTCTCTTTAAAGCCTCCAAGATGTCAGATAAATTAACAATGAGAAGACCAAAGACAAGGTGGAGGGATTGACAGAAGATACACAGAAGTGAGTACAAAAAAGTGGACATACATAAGAGGAGGACAGAGGAGCTTTTATCATAACATTAAAACACTGGTGAAAATGTCAACTGATGATGGCAGTGGTGGTGGTGGTGATAATAACAGCAGTAATATAAACACTGATTTTCATGCCCAGTAGAAAACTGCTGATGAGACAACACATGATCAAACACAAGACAGCATCAGGTTTAAATATATAAGCTTATTTCATAATATAACATAATTTGCAGTTGCAAATAACAGATTCAAGGAAGCAGTACTTTATCACAAAAATGCCTAAGTGACAGGGGTAGAAGCAGATGAGTCCCTCGGCAATGTTGCCTAAAATGGGCCTATTATACTAGTCCCTGGCGATGAGGGTAATTAAGGAGTTATAACTGTTAGGGGAAAACAAGGGAGAAACTTGCCCCAGGGCCATTTTGTCCATCGCAAATTCCATATGAACTGTACCATGGAAATGAAAATGAGACTTATGCAGTCATCACCAGACATAACAAACACATATTTAAGTGGAATGAAATTGTAGATGTCTCTCAGTATAATGTAAAAATAGGCGAAAGTTAATAATGTGACTGTGTATTTGAATAAGTTCAATAGCGTATTTTTTTCTTGTGGAACTTCTGGAACTGTGCTGAATTTGTGAGTTTCTTTCTAACTTGTCCTACACCCTGCTTCCTAGGGTGTAAGGAATGCATCCATAGTGAAACCCAGTAACTAACTGTATATGTTACAAAATGGCCACACTGGCTCATAAATTTCTAGAACAGAGAATAAACATTACATTTCTTGTTAAACTAATGAAAAATTCTATCACTTACAAAATGCTACCCCAGGGTTGGTCCTTGAGTGGGTTAGAAAGTTTAAAGGTGGATAGGAAGATGTAAAGTTGAAACAAAATCTGGCTGTGATTCATATATGGGAAAAGTGACTCAAATGATGATAAATTATCATTGATTGACAATTCTGAAGATAGTAAATGAAGTGTACAACAATAGCAAAACTGCTGAATAAAATGTAAACGTAAAGAATGGAATGGATGGTGCCAAGAAAAAAAAATGGTTCAAATGATTCACAAAAAACTTTCAAGTACTACCCACAAACAAAACATCAATGTCTCCAATAGAAAGGTCAAAATCATGATATTGAAAGAACTGTTGATTACATATTTGCTCCTCCACGACACACAGTCAATCAAGCAATCTGCATTTTAGTTTTAAAATACATGTGGCAATTTGTTTGTCAAAAATCATTTTATCTTTTGCTGATTAGCGAATTCTGCATTACAACACTTCACCCTTCCATACAGCTTTTTCTGTATGGGGTAGAAAAAAAACCTCCAGCACATCTTCAGGCAATCTTAACATTGACACCAGTTGCAGGTGGGTGACCAGTTTTACTGCAGTCTGAGTTGAAAGATCTTTTGGTACAGAAGGTCCAGTGAGTCTCATAGCTCATCTGAATATAGTAGTGGAGAGCAAAATCCTCATAAATTATTTAAATGAAGTCAAAAGTTGTGAATTAAGCAGCATCAGAATTTCAATATTAGATTTCAAAGTTACCCAGGGCTGCTGCAATCTTCTGCCATCGTCTGGACTCTACCTCTTCAGGTGGATATTCAACCAGCAGTTCTTCTAATCGTCGCTGTTCCTCTGCTGTCCACAGCTTTGGAAGGAAACGGAGCAAACATCAAATATAGCATCATACCATTCTTTGCACAGAGTCTCCCTTGGCACATGATATTTATATAAGCTGGTCAAGAAATTCCCTGTTTTTATGGAACCTTAAGGTTAATCACAGAATTCATTAGTTTTATGTTTGATGCACTGTCACTCTTCACACACACACACACGTTGTTTAATCTTAGATTACGAGACTCTGCCTTGCTATCAGTAAAATCCTTCTGTTTTACACGACATTATACAATTTCTACAGCTGAAACATAATCATATAATAATAAAAGAAAAACATTTGTGTATGTTTGGTTCTACAGGTTATATGGGCTTTAAGTAACTGGAGTTAAGATAAGGTAAAGTTACCTTTGTCTAAACACCAAATTATGAAGACTTGCTTTTTCAGAACTACGATACACAGCCACAGAAGGTGAGGAAATATACCTAGCTGACATCCTTAACAGAATTGGAAAGTTGAGTCCCATACAGTATCTGGTATGAAAACAAACCTCCATGGAACACAGGTGAAGTCACCTTCATACTCCAGTGACTTAACCCTCTCTGAGCAAACAGCCCCCTGTATTCATTCAACAAAAGGATGGATGGGCCCTAGAACCAGTCTGAACATGATGGCAGAAGAAAAAATCCCTGGCAATGTTGAGAACTATCTCTAGTCATCCAGTCCACAGCCAGTCACTGAGTGAGTTATCTTGGCTTGTGATAGTAATGTACTATACAGTAGGGCACCGCTTATAC